TGGATTGGGTCCCAGTGGCTTAATGGTATACGAGCTGGCCTTGTAACCAGAAGGTCCTTGGTTCGAACCCTAGGGGTGGGTGCGTAATAATGGAGAGTCCCAAACTCGGAAGAAACAGCTATCCAGTACTCCCAGGTTTCCAATGGTTCTCTAACCAATGTCAGCTCATGATGAAATCCTGTAACGACATAACATTTTTGAACTCAAAACGCAAAAGCCATGTTACTTAACATAAGAGGGATGAATACAGTTAGAATTGAGACAGTTCACTTTCATATCATATAGTTAGAGGGTTTCGGGACAGATCAAGTGTCAGCAATCTGAAAATGAATGTGCAAGCTCCTGTGGTGTTCTACGGAGAATGAACACAGTGTTGAAGATAGATCAGTTGACTAAGCATAATTACATATATGACACACTAGCAAGATATAAGAAATTTTGCGATTAGTTGTTTTCTTTGAGCTGGCGAACTAGTGAACCGGGCAAGGTTATGGATCAAATGAATGGAGCATAAATTATGCACGTGTGCATAGAGTGTGTATATGTTCACATATTCAAACGTTCGAATGAATCAACTGTGTGGCTCCTTTTCGCATTTATGCCTATTAGACAGCTGTGCTGTCACTACTCTCTAAAAGGTGACAATCAGAAACAATTGTCCCTAAAGATTATGGATCCCAAATTAACTTGAACTGGCTCGTGGCTGACGTTAGGATCTTCATACGGACACAAATGTAAAAATGACATCACACAAGTTATGTGTTATTAGTCTAAAACAGTTGTCTCTTGTGTTAGGCACTGGCAAATGTACCTATTGTTATTATTAATACTCTGTTTAATTGCTGTTTTAGGTTAAACACGAGAATTTCGCATTTTTCTGATCATCACATTGATTGTAGACAGCAGAGCGCTTTATCAAAACATTGACTAAAACTCAACCTTAATTTTTTGACTGGACAATAATCAGTAACTAGTGCAATGTATCCAGTCCTATCTTTGGTGCAGACTGAGTTCTTTCAGTCAAAGTCAACCTCAAGCCCGAATGGCTCAGTAGTGGTCACGTCTCTGACTGCAGCACTGGGTATTGCGGGATAGAATTCCAGAAGAGACATGAGTTCTTTCAACGATGCAGGTACGGGTTTGATGACGAGTGCCAACTAGCCCGAAACCTAGGTCCAAGTCTTCCTTCTACCGACTGCCACCAGCCATCTAATACTCAAACTTATTGTTTAGATTGCATAATCAGTAAACTTGTTAACTTTGATTTCATGGTGAATGACAGGAAACGAAAATAAATGCTTCAAGTTTGATTACAGATTGATATCAGTTGGAGAACCATTGAAGACCAGAGAGTACTGGAGAGCTGTTTCACCCTGGTTTAGGACTCATCGGAAGTACTCACCCACAGGGTTTCGAAGCACAAACCTTCCTGTTACAAGGTAAGCTAGTTCGTACACCATTCTGTTGCCTACTAGTGACCAGTGGGGTCCATCCAGTCAGGACTGAGGATGGAATTCCCACCAACGACATTGGTTGGTATTAATGCTAAAACCATTGGATAGCTTTCCAGTGGCTAGATGTCCTACGAGCTTGCTTTTTAACCGGAAGGTCTTGGTTTAGCGCTGCCGATGAGTCCTAGACCAGGACGAAACGTCTGTCCAGTATTCCCTTTAACAGATATCGATTCATAGTCCAACTTGAAACAAATAGAATCCCTACTAACTAACTCTGGAAAATGAGTGTAATTATTTAATGGCAACTGTATTCTAAGGCGAATACAGTTGATTAGTTTATCCCCAACAATTGTGTTACCCTTGATGGTCAATAACCGGGATTTCGTACAGGGAATGTGAAAAATAAACAAATAAACTATTGATTGTTCAAATATGTGCAACACTTTCATAAAATGCATTTCTACATACTTGACGCATCTGTGCACTTCACAGTCTACAGATTAAACGATTTTTCTCCGATGAAAACAAAGAATGCAGATGATTGGGCTACTTTCTTCAACACATATACGTACATACATATTGATCTGTGTTAGAAATGAAAAAAATAAGGGCAATATGTGGGTATACTGAACATAGATTGTTGGAATTTAATCGATTATATGGGAAAAGTTACTTTCAGATTTGTTAGGATTTCGGGTTTAATTCCTGTTTTAAGGTTAGTCTCTTCACCTGGAGGTTCCAGACGGTTCAAATAATAATGGGGTCATAGATGGACGCTGCCGTAAAGTATTAAACAAAGAGGAAGAAACAGGTGTCCAGTAGGGCTCTGTGGTTGTCGATGTTCTTCTTAACTGATGTTGATTAATTATTTATTCCATTTTAAGATTTTCCCGTCGATTGATTGGACCAAAGTGCTCGGTCTCAGGTTGACTTGTCGGCTCCTTCTTGTGCAGATGCTTCGACGATGTCTGGGCGTGTAATTGGTGGAGCGTGACTAGCAGTGGAATCCAGAATGGGCACTTCGTCCTATTTGGGATTCGTCCGCCAGCTGGATGTACCTGCATTACACAGTGAGTGATGATGCTCCCACCGAGGCTCGAACCCTAACTCATCATTACTCACTGTGGAATGAAGGTACATGCAGTGACGAGTACTTAGAAGGACGAAATATGCTTCATCCTGGACTTCACTAATAGTCACCATCCGCCAACTAACTTCTGATATTGACTGATGACGAAAATTTAATGGTTGAGCATTACTGTTAGTTGACCAACATAGTTAAAGGTGTGGAATATACTTGACACTCAGTGTGCATCTCACTTGCTAACTCAGTTTACTTAAGATTATCAGAAAAAGACCAAACAAGGCAGTTAACGCCGTGATACTGAATAGACTGATTGACCGAGTATCAACATGGGAATTTCCTCAGAAGCGTAGCAGTTCAAGTTGCCATACTCTAAGTAACATACAGAGGTAGAAATAAGGGTTACAAAAGGATTATAAAAAGCAGATAACTGAGGGAGAAAAAGGTATTAACATTGAGAAACATAAGGACTTTATAAATCTGGGAGATTAAAAAGATTGGGTGCATCTGTGCCATATTACAAACAATTTTTTAAGCCGTTAGTTCTAATTATGCTGAAGACTCCAGCCAGACAGTCAAAACCTCCTTTTGTAACTGAGTCAATTCAACAGTGAACTGTTGACGAGACTGTTATATGGTCATCTCCATCTCTTTTTCAACCTGATCCAATGCCCGTCGAGAAAAGAGATGGTTTGCCACGCGTGACACATACCCTAGGTATCTTAGTCAATGTAGTTTCACATTTTCATCGATTGATTTACCCTCGCTGCCTAACACTCCACTACTTACTTAAGTATTATCGCTATGTAATACTGTGGCGTAGTGTATAAAGAGACATTTATCGGCATAAAGACACTAAATAACAAGGAGATATATTCCATGTCAGAGAACGCAAATGGTGCGTTGCAGAAAAGGTGTACATAATTTGACTATATAGAGATACAAATTTCCAAATACACATTCCTTTACCAAGTCTTTTGTCTTCTAACTTTTCAATACCACTTAACACGGAAGATAGGACACAAATATCTGTTGTCAGCGACGTCGGCGAGTGCCAACTATCACGAAACCTAAGTTTAAGGTTTCCTTGTGTCAACTGCCTTCAATCATCTTATGTCAACTATTCAAAGTGCGCTGTGATGGCGAGCCACCTAGTGGCATGGTGGTCACATTGCAAACTTGACTGACTGATAGAATTCAGTCTGCACATTACACTAGTTATTTACTAGTTTCCAATGAAAGATGCTTTTTCACTGTTCGTGGTATATCTAATAAATAAATGAATGCGGAATTTGTTTTATACACATGGTTTTGCCTAATTTTTCCAAAATCTTTCAAATAAATATTTTAAGGAGTTATCAAGCACTGGGGTGAGCTCTTCGGATTTTCCTCTCTTCAGATTGCTGGACTCCTCCTATTGGCTGTCAGTACTTTTATTGCAACATTGAAGTACTGAATTTTCAAGGTGATTCTAACTGTATGTTTACAGAGTTTCTGTCTAGCATTTCGACTAATGTTAGAGACAGTAAAAGTTCTCTTATCGACATCCATTCTTTTCGTTTGTCTTTGCCTGCCGGCAGTGTAATTGTTGACGTGCGCTTAGGACAGATAAGCCAGCTCATTAAGTTAGTATTCGCTCATAGCCTACCAGGTCGTAGTACAGGTAGTAACTAAAACGAATTTGCTACTGCTCATTATTTAGAACAGTTTTGAGCCATGTCGCTGATAGTCTCCTACAGCTGGTACGTAGCATCTCAACTCGTCTATGGTTTGACATTTCATTGTATATGCGTCATAAAATTCATGAAGTCTGCTTAACAGTAACGAGAAGGATATATATAAATAATTTTATAACTATTCTCTTGTCTTTTATCGATTCACAAATCTAATGCGATAAATACCAGTTTAATTGGTAGGAGGATTTCATCATGAGCTAACATCGGTTAGAGAACCATAGGAAAACCAGCTGGGAGTACTGGAGAGCCAGCTGTTTTGTCAACCTAGGCTGGGAATCTTCGGCAGTATGCACCGACCGCTACGCCAGGGTTTGAACACAGGACCTTCTAGTTGAAGTGGGATCTTGCGCGTAGACCATTAAACCACTGGGACCCGAACCAATGTTTCATGAATTCCAACCACTTATCAGTGTCTTCGATGATTAACTGTCCTCATCGTCGACCAGTCCGGCAGGATTTGAAAGTCATGGGACGTTGGACTGGGTCTTTTTAGCTGGATAATGATCTGTAAGGATTCTCCGGGACTCAAGAAGATCGTGGATTCTCACTTTCTTTACTGTCAAAGTGTCCCAAACCGAGGAAAAAACAATTAGCGCGCTATATGTCTCCTTGGTTTCCGTCGGTTCTCTAACTTGATGTCAGCTCCAGATAGAGATCTACAAAAAATCGAATCTATGAAAGCGAATAACTGACACTTTATTCTATTCTACCATTTACTTTTTTTAGTAATACAAAATCTTCGTTCATCTGTCTATATGGAATTTCCTGATGCGTGTTTTTATCATTTGGGCAAAGTTGGATATATCACAGCGGTAATCTTTTCAATGTTAGCATTATTCGGTGCACTTATTGTCTATTATGTACTGATGTGTAATTTCCTATATTACACTGGAGATTATATTTATCGTAAGTTATAAAAAAACTTTGATTTCATTTGATTTTTTATAGATTATTTCAGAGAAATAAAATAATGTGTACAAATTTATTAGTACTATTATTATTCACTCCGGTTCCGAGTGGAACAAACCGCTTCAATAAAACTCTGTCTCCACTTTATTCCGTTTGGTGCTATCCTCTTCAACTGGCTAGCTTCACGACTCCCCATAATCTCTCATCTCCTCCTCTCCAACACACCGTCTTCACCATGCCACTCTCGAACTGACGACCAACTCGTCGCTTCCCACTTGGATTCCACTCAAGCCATGGCCTGCATTGCGTGCGATGTCATTCGCTGGCCTCCTCCTCAGTGTATGCATGATCCATCCATCTCCATTTCTGCCTATATATTTGTTGAGCGATCGGCTCTCGCCTATTGGTTTGTTCCCGGACAGAGTTTCTTGTTGCTTATTCCTCCTGACCAGCTGGCTGACCATTTGATCTTCAGTATGGAGCGAGCGAATGGGGGCAGCTGTTGATAGAAGTCTGACGCTAGCTGTTCGAAACCCTTTTCGTGACACGCTGGTGACGTTTTTATGACCCGTATCGAAGAAGTGACTGACTGACTTGATATTTGTGATGAAAATCCGAACTTGTTTCTTCATGCTGGCTGAGTCAATGCAGAAGATTTCCAGACTGGTTTCAGGTTGATGAAGGCGTTTCTTGCCTTTCTGATTCTGGCTGCCTTTGATATTTTCATCCGTTACGACTGCCCGTGATTGAAGCCGTGCTTCCTGGCTGGACAAGTGTAGGAAGTAACTTGTGTCAAATCTCTCCCACTGATGGTGATCGGTGATGGTTGTTGTTGTTGCTGTTGCTATTGGTTGGTTATCTTCATCACTCGCCTCCGTCTTCTCTGTGTTCCCCTTGAGTCTTGTCTTCTCTGTCTTGTAAATGTGAGAAGTTTAGGTGTATGAAACTAGCAAAGCTGTTGGTTGGTTTTTTGCCAAATTTATATTGCCATTTTCAGGCATAATCAAGATGACAATGTTACCTAATCGATAACAACAAGAAGCAATAGTTGCCGCTTTCACTAATCTAGACAGCACCATTTCAACTATGGGCCTTCGCACTTATGAAAATGTTAAAGCCATTAGGAATCGGAAGGGCAAGACAGACACATTCATTGATCTAAAATCGATCTTGAAATCTACCAGAATAAGCACAAAGAACAAAATTCGGATTTTCAATACCAATGTTAAGATAATCAGTTATTGTATATGGTTAAGAAAGAATCACCACCAAGAAACTAGGGGACAAACAAAACAATAACAAATCGCCCAACAAATATGCAGGAGAAAATGTAGATGGATTGGACACTCGCTGAGGAGGCCGCTGGGTGACATCGCGTGTCAGGCCAATGCTCGAGTGGAACCTGAAAGGGAAGCGGTGAGTGGGACGTCCAAGAGTGACATGCAGGAGATCGTGTGAGGAGGAGTTGAAACAGTATGGATTAACATGGATGCAAGTGAAAAGTACAGCAGAAGACAGAAGCAAGTGGAGACGTGTAGTTGAAGCCCTATGTTCCACTAGGAACCCAAGGGAACAATAATAATAAGAAACTTGACTTGTCATTAAAGCCTTTCAAGAAGGCTTCAGACTCTCATCAACAGCTGCCTTCCCTTGCTCCCTGCTGAAGATCAAATGGCCGGCCGGAAAAGATTAACAACCTTGAACTTTGAGAATAAGTCAACGAAGAACCTGTCACCTAGAAAAAAGTGCCAAAGGAAATGTGGTTGAATAGAGCATGGGCTGAGAAGATCGCTGAGTGACAGGATGCACTGGCTGGAGCCCCACCTAGAACCGTACATCTAGGTAAAAAAGACTATGAAAAACACAGTGAAGTGGAGGTGTGATGTTGTAACCCTTAATTCCACTCGGAAACCCATGGAATAATAATACTGATAATGAGTAATCAGCTCAACAACATTAATCGGTGTGCTCAAATTCAGTGTGAGATGAACCCACATTTGAAGCACTAATAGTGAACACATTTAATAAAAGATATATACATATATAATGAATTAGTTGGGAGCTTTTACAGTTGACGTATATTTTTAGTATCCCTCTGTTCTCTAACCTGCTCGCTTTAATGACAGAACGTTCACTGTCTTCCTAGACGACATGTTCAACGCTTGCTTCAGCTGGAAGAATTCATTATTGATCTTGTGAACCGGTATGGGAATAAACATAAGTCACACTGTCTAATTGATTGAATCAGTATCTGTGACACAAATCAAGGAGTCCTTTAAAATGAAAGACAGTGAAGTCGATAGCCTCAAGATTTTTGAACAACAACATATGTCTACATAAAAATTTGTTTACATCTTCGCAGGTACTCCAAATTTTCAGAGAAAAATAATGACAAAAAGAATTCGAATATGTTAGATTATTAAAGGTAGTCTACAGGAAGCTTTGGACCAAGATTTAGTGCTTCTTTGCAGTCACCAGTCACTAAAGCATGTCTAAAATATTAGAGGTATTCACGTCGCCTGTGATAATTGACTCCACGTTGCCTAGAGCTGCAGCCAGAGACTTTGCTACTGAGAGAATGATCCCCTGTAAGACAGTAATGGACACATCCAATGGTCACCACGTAGATACTCTTTGATGACGAGTGCGAACAAGGGTGAAACCAAGGATCGGAGCTCCTTGCCGATCTCCTTCAACCATCTTATGTGTATTCAGCATGCAAACTGACGATAAATTACCTAACATGGCGACCAAATTGTAAATGTAACTGATAGAATTCAGTATGAACCAATCCAAGGGTCAAAAGGATGACATTGATTACTTGCCACCTAGTGTCCAGTTAAAGCAGATTATTATTATTATTTCCTTGGGTTTCAAGTGGAACATGGGACTTCAACAGCACGTCTCCGATTTGCTATATTTTCTTCTGTCCTCTTCATCTGGGCCCACGTCTGCCCATAGTCTCTCACTATCTCCTCGCACAATCTCCTCTATATCACCCTCGTACACACACTCAACTCATGGTTTCTCATTTAGGTTCCACTTGACGTTGTGTCTGATATGCAGTTTCACTCGATTGATGGTCTCCTCAGCGCATGCCATCTCCTTTTTCTTCATAGTATCGGCTGAGCAATAGGTTGTTGGTTGATTTCTTCCCAGAGTTTCTTGTGGTTAATGTTTTCTGGTTTATCATCTATTCTTCAGTGCGGAGTGAAAGCGGATGTTGATAAATGTCTGCTGTATCCTTTCTGAAATGCTATTTGTGACACCCTGGCTAATTTTCTGATCCATATAGAGGAAATGACTGACTTGATATTTGTGTTGAAAATCCGAATCTTATTCTTTATGCTGCAGAGTGAAGATTTCGAAATTGATTGCAGTGTGATGAAGGTCAGTCAGGCTTTTCCGATTCTGGCTGGTTGTACCATCTCCATCCATTCTTCGTGTAGATGAAATGATGCTGCCTAGATAACTGAAGGAAGCAACCCCTTTCAAATTTATACCGTTGATAGTGAATGTTTGTTCCTGCTGGTTGGTTATTTTCATCGCCTCCGTCTTCTCTATGTTCACATGACGTCCAGTCTTCGCTATCTGCCTGCCACTTCAGCCACTTTATTGGGTTACGCCTGCAAGTCTTTGAGTCTGTGCGGCACTAAACATGAATCAACTACCTGTGAAATCCATATCTCCTAAAGTCTTCTTATTAGTCCAGCGTATTCTTGTCTTGCTGCTCCCATGCACAGTTTGACGCATATTCCAATCCACCACAATTAGGAAATTTCACTGGCAAAATTACAGGTGAAGTCAAAGAAATATGATATGCGAAGAACAAACGAATGGACACACCCTTAAAACGACAACTCTTCCATTTCATACTGTTGGAAACAGCTAACAAATTGTATACTGTTAAACTTAACATAAATTGCTATTGTTTTGGTGATAATTATCACGATTCATAACTGTAAGAACCTCAAGAGGACTGTCCGTCTGTCTGTTTTCGACATAGAACTTTGCACATATGTGCGGCAGTTCAAGTCGCCACACTCCATGTAGCACACGAAGCAAGAGAAGAAAGCAGGAGAAATGCATAATATTGACAGTAAACAGAGGGGTGAGACAAAGGAGTAGTACAAACGAAGAACAATACAGTTTCATTGGAAATCATAAGTCACAAGGTGTGGATGCATCTGCTCCAGCCATTGAGAACGATTTTGAGCCATGTCACCGATTGTCACCAGCGATTGGTTTTTACCGTCCCGAGGACCCCAACCAGGAAGTCTACGCCTTCCTACGTGGCTTAGACTAACTGTTGTAGGTTTCATTGACTGGTGCCATGTTTTGGTTTGATTACCGCTAGCTCTTTTCCAGCCTGACCCTATGTCAGAGTCTAACCTCTCGGTCGACAGAATCGAATGCCTCCTATAGGTCAAGAAAATAATAATTGTTGGACGCCGGTAGGAATGCCTATGTTCTAGAATCTGTCGGAGGTTGAAGATATGATCAATGCACCCTCTTCCTGGCCTAAAACCTGCCTGGTTTTCTCGTGTTTGTGCCTCCCGAGCACCACTTAGTCTACGCAATATTATTGAGCCTGGGACTTCAGATACTATATTAATCAAGCTAATCCCTCTGTGATTATCACAAGAAGACCTGTCCCCCTTCTTGTATATCAGGATGATCAGTGACAGTGTCCTCAAGAGGACAGTTTATTGAGAGCAATATGTTCCTGTTTCAGACAAATACTTAGTTTGTGATTTCGTTGCGGGGTGGGGTAACATTTCACACGGTTATATCTTACTACTGTCATATATGTAGTCATGTTAAGTGAATTGATCGACCCACACGACTATATTCATTCTGTGTGAAATACAAAGAAAGATTTAACATACCCTGCGATTACTGATGAGTCCCGAAATTCGTCTCGAAATACTGTACTACACTACATGAAAATATGCATATATATTTTCTGAATTTCAAATATACTCATTCCTCTAATT